CATAACACAACCTTGTAGACTTGTACACACAGGGCAAGGAGATGTGTTACACCATCATAACACAACCTTGTAGACTTGTACACACAGGGCTAGGAGATGTGTTACACCATCATAACACAACCTTGTAGACTTGTAGATACAGGGCTGGGAGGTGTGTTACACCATCATAACACAACCTTGTAGACTTGTAGACACACAGGGCAAGGAGATGTGTTACACCATCATAACACAACCTTGTAGACTTGTAGATACAGGGCTGGGAGATGTGTTACACCATCATCACACAACCTTGTAGACACACAGTGCAAGGAGATGTGTTACACCATCATAACACAGCCTTGTAGACACACAGGGACAAGGAGATGTGTTACACTATCATAACACAGCCTTGTAGACACACAGGGCAAGGAGATGTGTTACACCATCATAACACAACCTTGTAGACTTGTATTGTGTTATGATGGTGTAACACATCTCCTTGCCCTGTGTGTCTACAAGTCTACAAGGTTGTGTTATGATGGTGTAACACATCTCCTTGCCCTGTGTGTCTACAAGATTGTGTTATGATGGTGTAACACATCTCCTTGCCCTGTGTGTCTACAAGTATACAAGGTTGTGTTATGATGGTGTAACACATCTCCTTGCCCTGTGTGTGATACAGGGCTGGGAGGTGTGTTACACCATCATAACACAACATGGGGTATTTTTTCTAGTTTTTACATTTATATTGAACAGTTTAAGATTTGCTGAAAAACATGTAACTCGTGACACTATAGCAAAACATAGACCAGGTTTGTGGCAATAAGTTATCATCCCATATGTCGATATTAACCAATGAACAACTGTTTTAATTACCACTGTATGTTAACATGTTAACGTTTTCTCTGCAGTCCACAACTTTTGTTTATACAAGCTACTTCCTTGATCTGGCTCAGTGGTAACACTGATAGATTATAACACTAAAATTCGGGATTCAATCCTTGCCGTAAACGCAGTGCAGCTAGTCTATTGTATAACTTTGCACATGTAAATATAGCAAAACAAAAGAGTCATTTATATGCATGAAAAACATAATCTTAAGCCCCCTAGTGGCACAGCAGTTTGTCAGTGGACTTACAATGCTAGAAACCGGGTTTCGATACCCGTGGTCGTCAGAGCACAGATAGCCCTTTGTGTGGCTTTGTGCTTAACTACAAACAAACAGAATAAAAAAAAAATTAAGAAATTTTTGAAGGAACGACATTAGAAGAAATTTAAATGTATATATATATGTATGTGTAAGTTACACAGTAATGTCAGTACCTCAACGAATTGTGAAGTTGAAAAATGTGGTGCCTTAATCCCCAACTCATGAAATACGATAAATTACGTTTTCTATGAAACGAGGCTTAAAAAAAGTACCCGTATTAAAGCTGTTTGTTCTTAAGCACAAAGCTGCATAGTGGGCTATTTGTACTGTGCTCACCACGGGTGTCGAAACCGAATTTTTGTCGTTATAAGCCTTCAGACTTACCGCTATGCCACAGTTATATGGATTAGGTTTTTACTAGTTATCATGCACTTTGATTATGGGTTAAGCCTAAATTAAATTTAGCATGTAACTAAGTAAAAATCTCGTGACGTGCACAGAAAATGGTGCCCGTAAATATAGCATTAATGTTGTTTTATAGGAGCACCGTATGTTGAAAGTAACCAGTCACATGACAAAAGGGCGGGATTTACATTGTGCGTTTAAGATTATTCGCTGTTAGAATATTCTTATAGTTTAATCAGTTATTACTCATCTAGTTCGAGTAAATGTCACTCGTATATAAATAAACTTGGAATCACTATTTAAGGCGTTCCTGTTCTGAAAGGTTTTTAGCCAGAATTTTCAAGTTACGATAGCTCGCGCACAATAGGGGTAGAACACGATTGTTTATTAGTAAGAAGCAATACATGCTTGTTTGTTTTGTAATTAAGCACAAAGCTACACAATGGGCTATCTGTGCTCTGCCCACCACGGGTATCGAAACCCGGATTCTAGCGTTGTAAGTCCGCAGACATACCGCTGTGGAGAGGGCAAAAGCAAGACATACTCGTAGCTTTGAAGTAATTTCAAACCTTATTGAAACATATATATATATATATATATGATTATCACAATATATCTGACGCGTCTTCGTAACCTCAGCCCCCCGTGTTGAGCAGAGCACATATAGCTCATTGTGTAGCTTTGTGCTTAACTTCAAACAAACAAAGAAATCTTAACCTCAAATCAGTGTGGGTTAATTATAACGTGCAGGGCGTAGCCAGGGGCTGGGGTAGTCGATCTATCACCTCACTATTCCAGAAGTCCAAAAGGTCCACTGTATTCTCTGTTTTTAAAATAAATACTTGACTTTCATTTGAATCACTTAAACTGTTTGTATAGAAGAAAAAGTCCACATTTTTGTTTATAAAAAAAGACCCCTCCATTTCGTAATGCTGGCTACACCCCTGATGTGTTTTGAAAATTGAGCTATTACATCCTAAACCGTTTGTGGTAATTGCAGACAACCGAGAAATGTACCTTGTAAAAGCTAAACAAACTATTATATGCAATTCATGTTACACGACTTTCTTTTGCTCACGACTATCAGATCTTAAAATTCGCAAAATGTTCCAGTAGAACAGACATTCCCAACCTGGGGGTACATTTGCACTTCTCAGGGGGTA